TGATCGATGTCATTTTGAGACCCTTTAAAAAATTATCATGACTAATATTTCAATTCATAGATTGAAAAGCGCTGATCTACATAATGAAATGCTTTTAGATGAAACAACATTAATGTTTTCTCAAAACCTATGAAGAAAATGATTTTATGAATGAATGGAATAAAGTAATTGAATTTAACAGATTATACCAATATTCTAAACATCCCAATGTTTAAAGTAAAGTAGTATAAAAGCAAGGAAGCTGTGAAAAATAATTAAACTTAAAATTGAAATAACATTTAATAATACAAAATTAAAATTGAAATTTGGACATCGACCTTGGTTTTTGTGTCCTAACATTAATATTATCATGTGAATTATTTGAACGTCTACTATATGATTAAGTGATAATAATTAACCAATCAATTATTGTATCGCTATCCTTCAAATATATTTAAATAAGCTGTTATTATTAATATTGTAATAAGAAATTTCCGTTTCCTAATCAACAATAGATTTTTCTAATTCAAATTATATATAATTGACATACATAGTGACTATTTGATTGAAGCACGCGTTTTAAATTATTATGTAATTTGTGAGCTAGTTATTGTTTATTAATTTAACTAACACGATGATATATATATACATATATGTGGTAGTTTTCCAGTTGTTCAACTGCAGGTTGTTGAGGTTGAACTTCCACACTGTGATTAGAGCAGCGGTCGCCAACCACTACCATATTTGTTTTCAATTAAAATAAGATTCTAAATATGAAATGATACTTATACTGAAAAAAAAAACTGACAAAAAGTTGTATAATAAAATATAATTATTCTTTGAATTATTCATGACTATTTTAAATTGATTATTTATTTTATATGCTTTATTACTAAATTCTACTAGTTTTCGAGGGTCTCGTGGGTTTGAAATCCCGACTATGTCAAAATTCCGACTACCATAATCCCGACTATATCGAAATCCTGACTATGTCAAAATCATAAAAATGTTATTGTAGAAATTATAATAATAGAAGACACTGTCGGGATTTTGATATAGTCGGGATTTCGAACGTTGGGATTTTGAGCCAGCCGGGATTTCAATAGAAGGTCTTTCGGTTGTCGGGCTTGTGATTGCCACCGGTATAAAAAAAGGTATAGACTGGCTACATGTAAGAATGTGAACTAAGTTGCATACTCGTTTGAGAGTGCAAGGACAGGGTCGGCACGAGGCCATACATCAGCGGTCGGGGAACCGGGGTAAATTACCCAAAATGGGGTAAAAATGATTTTTTTTGGGTAATTGGGAAATTTTTCTAATTTCATCTTACCAAACTCAGAGAGCGGTTCTCTGACTACTTTTCAGATCTTGATGTACAAACTGTGAATTGGGGTGTAGATCCTTTTAAATGTGAAATTACTAACATACCAGAAGAACTTCAAGGTTTGGCAGAGGCAATTCTTGAACTTCCATCCAATACTGTATTCAATTTGAGACCAAAGCAAATCTGTCGTCTTTTTGGTGGTCAAAGGCTTTCAAAATTGCACATGAGGAGGCGGTAAAAGAATTGCTGCCATTTGCAACAATCTACCTTTGTGAACAAGGCTTTTCCA